GGGTAACAAAAGCTTAATTCAGCACTAGTCTAGGACTAGATCAGATGTAGATTTCTAATCTTAGTTTGACTACTGACTTTCTCGACAAAGTCTAATTTTTTCCATACTATCATTTCATTTTATAGAAAAATAAAAAGATATCTCTCATCCAGATGTTTGAACATTTACCAAACACTTAAATATCACACAAGGGTTTACATCAACTTCATCAATATACACAGTAAAAGAATAATTACACTCGGCTTTTTAAATATGAATTTATCTAAGTTTGGGGGAAAATATCATTCTAACTACCTTTTTCCAGTCTTCTGATGGAATATAATCTTCATCTTCTTCTGATTCTTCTTCTATTTCACTATCTAGAATAAATAAGACACCAATACTATAAAATAATTGCTTATCCTACCCACATCTATATGCCTGTGTATTATATCTACTTTAAATATTTGGATATACCCAAAGGTATCCAATGAGTTAGGCCAAAATATTTCTAATCAAATAATCAATACCCTACCACTAAAAAAAAAACTGAAAACCCAAAAAACACCAGAAACCAGTATGAAAAAAACCCATAAACCTAGGCAACTGCATTCTCATGAAATGAGTTCCTACAAAAACTTTAGAAAAAAATTCATTTAGAGTCTAATCCTCATTCTGCTACCAACAACCTAGTGACAGAATAAATTACATGATCTCTATTTCTTCACTTACAAAATGAGAGTTTGGACAAAACAGTGGTTTACCAAACAGTGGTCCTCAGAACACTAGGAATTTTGTAGCACCACTTTAGGAGAAGCATGTGAAGGGAGTGTATGTATGAAGACCTCCATTGTCCCCAACCTCCATTTTATTCAGAGCAGGCAAGCTGTTGTTTGTTTATACTTTGGAACGAGAATGTATTTACATAAAGGAGTGGGAATTCTAAAACCTATTAGATTGTTAGCATTCTTCTCAAATCTAAAATGACACATAAACTTGAAAAGGACATTACATCTAGAAACCAATTCTTCCTATGGGAAAGCTAAGATAGGTGGCATATGTATAGCTTCCATGCGTATATAACAAACAAAATACCAGATTGGAAGTATGAAATAAATATTGTTTCAAGAGGCAGAAGAGCCACTTGGCATCCCACTCTTAAGCAAACTTTGCCAATGGATCTGCTCTTTGTTTAGCTAAAGGAAAAAATATCACAACATTTCCTCCAAACTTAAAATTAACAAAATTACTTGTGTTAGAGAGTAACTAATCTCTCCTTACACCAATACATTTTTCCTTTGAACCAGATCTTTAATCAAAACTCAATTATCATACAAAAATTATTGTTAGAAGTACTATATCCACTTCTAAACTAAATGTATAACAAATCATTCATACAAAGCAAGAGTCACGTTTAATCAGTTATTACTTTACTACATATTCCGTAAGAGGCTATTTTTCAAGTGTTTTTCTTTCTTTTTTTTAAGTATGGAAATTTAGACCACAAATTTAAACTAATAACACTGGTAGTTGACTTGTTCTTACCAAAGAGCTGTGTTCTAGAGTAACAATTTGTGCTTAGAATGAAACATGGTGGAGCAGGTGAAACATGCAAATATTTAAAATACATACATTAAATGTTGTCCTGACAACTGGCCATCTCTCACTAGATCATAACTTAAGAAAAATGAGGAGAGGTCCTTCTAAGCATGATGTATTCCTACCTCAAGAATCAACCACTTCTTTAGAACTGGGAGCTGCTGACTAAAGAAAGCAATGCTTATGAACATACCTAAAGAAGGCTAAGAACCAAAGAAAGTAGAAAATGAAAGCTAAGGGAAGGACTATGAGAAATAAAAAAGATGACCATGAAACAAACATTTAAAACAGGCAGGGAAAATACAAAAAACACACAAAGTCAGTAGTACATGATACAACAATTACCGCAGTGTGTTCACTGGCGACAGGACCCTGGCATTGCTAAACTAATAATCTACCAAAAAATCCATTTACTATTGAAAGAGATTTCAGAGTAAACAAATTCGAAAGATCAGTGGAAAAAATCAGCATTTTAGGTAATATATAGAACAATAAAAATTATATTCAAATTACAGCAACCAATAATACTTACTTGTATCAAAATATTTACATCGACGTGGACGGATTATTTCTTGGGCATCTTGAGAAGCAACAGATTGTGATGGATCATCATTGGAAGACTGAGTTTCATCCTCCTGACCTGATGAATCCTTTATATTCTCTTCCTGTACAATAATAAATTAATTTTCTTTAAGATGTAAAGAAAACTGTTGCAGATGAAAGGTCGTAGTGTTCAAATTTTGTTCAAAATATAACCAGAAGACTAAAATGAATACACTAAATGTAACGTGGTATTCTGGGTTGGCCTCTGAACAGGAAAAAGTATACCAGTGGAAAAACTGGTAAAATCTGAACTGTCTATAGTAGAGTTGAAAGTATTGTACCAGTGTTGATTTCTTAGTTTTGGTAAATATACTATGCTTACATGATGTTAACAATAGGGGAAGTTGGGTGAAAAATATAGAGGAACTTTCTACATTATCTTTAAACCTCTTCCATAAATCTAACGTTATTTCAAAATAAAATAAAAATAAATACATAACTGCCAATTAGCCTTTATTATTTAAAAGCAATAATATTTTTTTAAAAAGCTGGTATAAATTATTTAGAATAAGCACTGAAAACAAAGAAAGCTGGAATGACAGAGACCAAACTATTACCTCTCAGGAGGGGATTTCCAACTTTTATATTACATATTTCTATAATATCTTGATTTTTAACATCTAAATTTGTTACTTTTAAAATCAGAAACAGTAAAGATTATAAAAATAAGTAATAAAAATTAATGTATTAAGAAATTTTAACTTCAATAAGAATGAAGACAACAATCTTAAACATATATGTATATAAACTTACTTTATTTTCCCCACTACAGCCACTGTTGTCATCATTATCAGCATCTTCATCATCTTCACCTTCTTCCTCTTCTTCTTCCTCTTCATCATCTTCTTCAGGTAGTTGAACAGAACTATTATAACCATAAAGGCTGAGCAGTTCATGAATTGGCATGTCGCCTTCCTAAATAAAGCAAAATAAAAGTTAATTTCTGAATCAGTGGATTTTCAAATTCCTAAGCTATAATTCACAAATCTGTAGAGTATGTATTTTATATTAAAAAAAAGTACTCTAAGAACTATATCAAGAATTCTCAAATCATAAAAAGTGAAACTGAAAATATTTCTGAGACCTAGGAATATCCTAGTCTTTTAAGTATCTCTATAAAACTAAACAACTCTAGTTGCTAACAGAATCTTTTAAGTATAATTAAAAAGCGACATTGGTCTCAAACTGGTCTTTTTGCAATCAATTCAGCATATGTACACTGACAGTACACATGGATGTCCACACTTAGTAAGAGAACCATACTTAATTTGGGGGTAGAAAAAGAATAATTAGAAAACAGACTGTAAACTAAGTTAACAAACCCAGAAGGGGAGAAGAAATTCATAACCCAGCCCAAACACATTCAAAGAAAAACAGCGATGATATATAAAAGAATGATATAGGATTACATTAGCCACATATTCTTTTCTATGGTTATCTCTATTTACATATAAAATCATCTCATGTAATCCTTACTATCATACAGAATTGTTATATTATCTCCATTTTGTAGATGAGGAAATGAAGGCTGACAGATTAAACAATTTCTTCAAAAATCACACAAGTTACAAGTAGTAGAGCCAGATTTAAACAGTCTAACTTCAAAATCCCACACTCTTATCAGTGTACCATGGTGCCTTAGCCACAGATCTCCCTCAAGCCCTAAAAAAAAAAAAAAATACCCTCTGTGGATGAAATGAAGAAATATCCATTATGCAGTGAAATGAAATCAGCTTTCTATAGAAGGTACTCTCGTATCAGTAAATAAGTGATGTAAAGGATCAGGGAAACACAATAGAATTCTGATTATAAAAAGAAAATTTAACCTAAATCATCTGAACATATATACACATACACTCTGAAGCAAAACAGTCAGAAAAGAGTCACTTTAGAAGCTAGAAAAATGGTAATCATAAAATAAAACATGTTTTCTATTTCTCCAGCAGTCTGATTTATTCAGAAATAAGTCTAGCTCATGTGTGAAACACACTGCAACAGTGCAGAAGGATTAATCAGACTGGATCACATAACCTGATGGCACTATCACTTAGATCATAAAATGAACCCCCATCACTCAGAATCCACGCACGAGAAGCAATCTAATGATTGTAATCTGGAGCTTTTCTTATAGAAAGAAATAGGAAGAAAATGTCTTTCTATACTTCTATTTCACATTGTAAATGAATATTCTGGTTACAAATGAGTTTGTGAATCTATTTCTGAAAGGGAAATCAATTCTGAGAGCGCTAATAATTTGCAGAAGCTACAATCTGAAAAGTGGTAACCATATTAGGCAAGGTATTGCCACTCGAGCTGAATGACCAGCTGGCACACTTAACTGACAGTTCCTATACCGTGGTTCTCAAAGTACAAGAGTGCTTTAGGTATTCAAGGATCTGATCCATGCAGATCTGTTCCATGTACCAAGGACCTGGTACAAGACACTGATATTTGGGATTGAAGGAGTCAGTACTTAAGAACTGAATCAGAACCTCACATTCCATTTACAATGTGAAATAGAAGTGCAGAATAACATTTTCTTCCTATTTCTATCAGAAAATCTTTTTAAGATAGAAGTAGAATAAGAGAAAGATACAGAAAAGGCTGCTTTTATATTAATACACAAGAATAACAAATAGCTGCCATAAAGTGTCTTCTACATGCCAGGCCTTTTGCTTTCACTGTCTCTTTTTCTCTTAAGAATGAAAGCAGAGTCAAAACATGACAAGATCTCATTAGATCTTTATAAGTAACAGATGGAGTGTTTGCTGCCTTTATTTGCAAATAAGGAAACCAAGCAGAAAGAAACATCATGCACTGATACAGATTTTATTATAATTCCTAGACCTCTTAATCCCAGCACATATAACTGTCCTTAAGCTCACATCCTACATCCCAAATCAGAAGTAGGTTTAGCAAATGAACTCATTGCTGTGAAAAAGAGCCACTAAAGTCACTAGTATGTAGCTGGGCGTGGTGGCGAGCACCTGTAGTCCCAGCTACTTGGAAGGCTGAGGCAGGAGGATCACTTGTGTCCAGAAGTTTGAGGTTGCTGTGAGCTAGGCTGACACCACGACACCCCACACAGGGTGACAGAGTGAGACTCTGTCTCAAAAAAATAAAATAAAAAAAAATAAAGTCACTAAGAATAAACAAGGGCCCAAACAGGAAAAGCACTTTAGCCTAACAGCTTGCAACATTTACATAAGCCTTAAGAATTCATTTTCTTATTTCGTATTTATTTCATCCTCAAAACTATTCTAAATACGTGTTACTACTACCTCTAATTTTTACAATTGTGTTAACTGATACTTTGAGGCCACACATCCAATTAAATGGCAGCACTCTATTTTGAACTTGTCTTCTGATGGCACTTGGTTTCACTCTAAGAGGTAGATTATAAATCAAATAAATGCCCTTAGGCTCTCTACCATTGGTCTGTCTTATTCAAGGGTATTAAAATCACCTAGAGAGCGTATTAATACAGGCTGCTGGGCCTCACTCCAGAGTTTCTGATGTAAGAACCTGCATTTTAAAAAAGTCGCAGGTGATGCTGATGCTGCTGGTACGGGACCACCTTGAGAAACATTTATCTCACAGGTCTAGGAGAAGATACCTGCAAAGCAGCCTTTCCAGTGGAAGGTAATAAAGTTTGAATATTATCTTTAATAAAGCTTATCATGTGATATATGATATACTTATCATATGACATCTAGCTCAATTATCTGTCAAAAGGATAGGTGACATATTAGCTGCATGAAAAGGATTTTTTTTTAAACCATTATCAAGAAGGTAGAATGTCTGATACCCATAGTTAGATCAAGATTTTTCCCTCTTGGAGACACAGAGAAGTATGACTCACTTTATAAAAATTCATTTCTCAAAGAAAAATTCAGCAACACTTCCAATATTGACTAAGCAGAGAAGAGCGAGACTCAAAAGTGGCCTGATCACAGTGCCTTCAGAAGAGAAATGCTTAAATTAGAAAAAAAACAGCAGAACTGGCACAGATGGAGAAAAGCCATTCAAGTCAGAGGAAATGACAAATGTACAGGTATAGAAACAAAAATGAATAATCAGGTCACTCTGATTAGAGCAGACATACTATCTGTAGTAATGAAAAAAAATAGCATTTGAGAAGGCCATCGATTGATTACTGAAAGATCAACTATAGATTACTGAAAGTCAGAGTTGGTATTTTTACCACCTTTGTCTAGTTTTACCTAGTTTCTAAAGAGATATGCTATACTCTACTTTTGACTGAATTTAAGAGTATTTCTGAACAGTTATTAACACTATGGGAGGGCTTGGGGGAAATTATACACACAATAAAATGTTCAACATGAACTTAGGTAGGGAGAGATTTGGTTTGCCAAGGAGACTGAGCTAGGTAGGAATCTACTGTTATCATTCACTACACATTCACCTGTAGTATGATCAGAACCTCAATTAAATTAGTAGTTGTGGGAAAGAAAAAAACTGAAGAAATCCTGCAGAAGAAATCACTAAAATTTTACCAGGGGTTAGGAGTGATGGAGGTTATAGTGATGCTTAAGCCCTGCTTCCATACATTCCTTGGACCCAATTACACATTCATGTAACTTCTAATAAGGTTTCTTTTTAGTCAGTTATTTTTAGATGAGTTCTATCATGTGTAAACAAAATACTCTTGCCCATTCCATCAAAATGCTTGCTTAATATTATTAGGTATCAAACTCGTAACTTAACCTGTCACCCAATATCAAGTTAGTAAGCAGCAAGGAAAAAACAATCATTACCACTAAGAATACAAGTTGGAGCTTGACAGTGGTATGAAAGATATCATATTTGATCTAAGGCATAAAGTGAAGATCTTGTAGCAAACACTAAGCTACAGCTAGAATAAAAACCAGAATCAATTTTGCTGAGGAATTCTGTTTCAAATTGAAGTAGCATTTATTGTGTCCCTACTTTGTGCTAACTGAAGTATTTAAAGATTTAGCAAGAATAAACAAGTACCATGTAAGTATTATTTATTGTTAATCTGCTCCCCAATGCTTTCCTACTTTCTTCTACTTCTGCACTCATCTTCTCCTAGGAAATGTTCTTTCCTCCATTCTAAGCATCTATTTTGACTGAAAGCTCACTTTCTGGACCGTAGTTTCTAACGCAACTGGGATCAGTGCATTCTCTGGCCATAGGTTTAGAATGGGCACATGACCTAAGCTTGTCTGTGGTTTGTTTCTGGAATTTTATCAACCAAGCTAAAGAAAGAAAGACAGACTGTCCCAAGCAGTAAATGTGGGAGACCAAGGAAATAATAGCATTATATGAAAAATGCTGGTCTTACGAAAGAAGCCAGCCATGTAGAAAAATATTCTGGTGGCAATTGAGTCCCTGAGGACTAGATATATTCCTCCCTTAATAAAATTCCATGAGCCTTCATTTTGTCTAAGCTAGTTCATCATAGATTTCTGTCTTTGCACCCCCAAATTCTGATGCTATAAATAGTACTGATATCCCTAAAGCAAATATTCTGTTCTTTCCTTCTAAAAAAAGCCTTAAGGATGAGTAAAACTTGGTCAACGGTACATTATTATATTAGGAGCTGTCAGTCACCTGTTCCAGAGAATCTCTCATTAGTTTGTATTATCAAAAGTCTGCATTCTACCAGGTACTAAGGGGTTTTCTTCAACTTAAATTGAAACATCACAATAAAGTGGCACAGTCTTGTATTTCAATTCACGTAAGTGTTAACAGTACACAAATAAAGGAGCACAAAGAGAAAATTATGGGTCCAGTTGTAGGTTTTCACAGTTGTAGAGTACAGACCTCTTTGAGAATCTTATAAATCATATAACTACTAAGATTTATTTAGTGATTATTATGTGCCAGACATTAGCTAAATGCCTTAACTACTGAAGATTAACAATGTTAAGTAATGTATCCAAAGTCACATGCTAAAATTAGTAGTACCGCTGAATTAGGAACCCAGGCAGTCTGATTCACCACATTACAGTGCCCTTTAGGTACATATGCATACATACTGCCTTCCTCGAAACCTACCTTTAGATTAAGTATACAACATCCTGTTGTAGTGTGAAATAAGATGTGCTGGGCTGACAGACTATGAGGAATAAGGAAAATGGGTACAGTAGAAGATGAATAATAATACAGGAATGTGCACTATATTGCAGATTGTGCTTTAAGAAATTAGCTGTCTAAGTACTGTAACAAAAAAAGGGGCAATCATGTCTGCATAAGCTAAAGGGAGACTGGCTGGAGGTGAAAAAGTAGACTTTTTAAAAGATAAAAACATATGAAATTAAGTATGTCCTAATTTCAAGACAACAGGGTAAAGTTAACAAACACTAACAGACAATAGTTTCATAAGGTTGGAGTGGCATCCATTTCCTAGCTGCAGAAGAGGTGGTTCCTTCGCCCTCACATCAGAAAGTGTCATTAAGCACTGACTGAGTGTGACAGCAGATGCTGGCCTTCAAGTCAGGGCCATGTGGTAGATATACAGAGCACTCCTCTTATATCTGCTGTACTAAAACTGACTTACCAATAAATGCTAATCAAGAGGGGAGAAAAAGGAAAGAGGCTGACTTCGAGCCAGGAAGGCCTAAGGGACCATATCCAGATTGGACTAGGGAGATGGTTCCTAAGGTAACCAACCTCTTGGGGTTGGGGCTTGACTAGAAGATAAACTATGAAGGGATGGGGGGAGTGAACACATTTGTTATAATCCCCACACTGAGGTTTCTTTTGTATCTATATAATTCATGTTGTATGTATACTTCAGAAAAGATCTCAATCTTTTACATTTTAATCTTTATTCTCTGGATGAAATATGTCTAGCACTTTGGAGTGTATATTAAGTATTGATAATGTAATAGTGTGGTTTTTCTAAAATATATTTAAATACATTCCAGCTGTGCACAGTGGGTCACACCTAAAATCTTAGTGCTTTGGGAGGCTGAAGCAAGAGGATCACTTGTGGCCAGGAACTTAAGGCCAGCCTGGGCAACACAGCAAGACCCCATATCCACAAAAACATTTAAAAAACTAGCCTGGTGTGGTGGTGTGCACCTATAGTCCTAGCTACTCAAAAGGCTGAGGTAGAAGGATTGCTTGAGCTCAGGAGTTTCAGGTTACAGTGAGCTACGATTACACCACTGCCACTGAACTCTGAACTGGGGAACAGAGCAAGACTCTAGCTCTTTTAAATAAAAACAAAAAGATACCATGATCCTGATCTTTCTTCTCCCAAATGGATGGCTAGAACTGTGCCATTCAGAGCCTCTGAGTTTTCAGAGTGCATTTGGAAAACAGTTAAACTTAAGTACTGTTAATTATAGCAAACAAAAGTTTATTTACTACGGGAATGATTTTGACACCCTTTCTAAGATCACCACAATAAATTCTAACCTATATATCTGATTCTATTAAAACATTTAAATGCCAAACTTATATAATTACAATACATTTTATATTGACAAGAAAAATGCATGAAAATGTAACAATATACATCAAAGCTTCTATCAAAAGTTTTCACTGAAGATTTTAGAATTCAAATTGAATGAACACATGCAATGCAGTTATTGATAACTCCTAAAAGAATTTACTGTCAGAATTTTGCCACAATTAACATCAAAAATACATTTCATGCAATCAAAATGCCAGGTGAAAAACACTTTACCAATTCCTGACATAACTAATATTTTGCTTCTATAAAAGCAAGCCAGTAATCAACATGACAAAATCTTGTTCACTATGTTAATAAAAGCAAAACCCAGTTTGGTTTGCTTCACACCTAAAGAGTTTGTAAGTACAATAAATCCAATATATTGGCCCTAAACTTAACTTAGCTTCAGGTTATAGATGAAGGCATTACTGATTATGTGCTACTTAAACCTAAGCTGTAGCTGTTTCTGGGAGAAATTAGAGAAAAAACTGAGAAAGCATAGACTGGCTGAAAGGATAATAAAGGACTGGTTCCATTGTCTTTTTCTTCCTTTCTCTATTCTCCATAAATAATTCTAATTACTATTTCCTAAGGAAGCAAATTCAAAAGGAAATTTTTTTGGGGGTGGCTACCAGGGACTGAGGAAGGGGGTGGAAGAAAGGAGAGAGAAACAGGAAAAGGCAATGACATGCCTGAAAGTCTAGCAAAGCCCATTAGTAATTTTATACTAATTAAATGTAACAGCCCATTTTCTGAAATAGAAGAAAATAACCATCATTCTACCTTATAACCTATTACAAACTGTACTTAATTATTTCCTCTTGCTAATTAGTATCTGCATTAATATAGAATATGATAAGAGGAAAAATATAAGACTTTCCTCCTTTACCTTTTATCCCATGGATAGTTTATTCAGAAGCAGAAAATACATTGAAAGTGATAGAAGTTTCTGTAAATGTAAGCAAATAACTGAAAATAATTGCCTTCCCACTTCACAAATATAGGAAGTGACTGTGATTAACTGCTAAATCAATTTTTTCCTTGATGCTCATCTAAGTTCTGAATCATCCAAGCAAATTATCCCTGTCTTTTGAATAGTTTCCCAGCCTCTCACTTTTAAAAAAGAATAATCTGATTCCCAAGCTCTTTGTGTGCTTTTTAATCCATTCTTGAAAAGCTTTTGTGATAACCAATATATATCTTTGCCACTAAGACCAAGTCTATTCTCTGGCTCAAAATAATAAAATATTAGATTGTTTAGGAGTTGTGAATTAAGCCAGCTCTAATCACTAAATGATCCAAAATGACAAGATGTGTATAAATAGTAATAGGACTCCTTCTCAAGTTCTTTAAATGTATACTTTAAAAAGTTCCAAAGTACAATTCTGAAACACAGACTAGTTTTTATTACAATAGAAGTATCAGCATTCACTTTCCATAATACTATATATTCCAAATTCTTAAAAGCTAGCACTATGTCTTATTTCTTATATTCTTTTTATCAAGTATAGCAGATCATATGCATAATAAATTTTATTAGCACATGACAGACTGATTTATCCATTCATTCATTCGATACTTTTTTTGAGTGACCACTCTCGCTAGGTACTATAAAATATTTTAGTAAATAAAACAGTCATGGTCCCTCCCCTCATGACACCAATGGAGCACAGAGATAAATTAAACAAACCAATGAAGGATAGAGATAAATTAAACAAACATATAATTACAAATTGTTTAGGTATAAAGAAAGCATTCAAGAGGATACAGCGGTTTAAAAAAGCTAATTAGGGGGCAGGAAAGGCCAGTCTGAGAAGGCAATACCCAACCCAGAGGATAAGGAGCCAACCTTGGGAAGGACACACCAGAGTGAGAAGGAGCTGAAAAGCTGTGAGGCAAGAAGAAACTAGCTCAAGAACAAAAGCAGCTAGTAGTATGACTATAGCACAGCATAATGGGCAGTGCGATACATGGACGAGAGGCTGTATCATGCAGGTGGACTTGCTGGCCAGGTTAAGGAGTCTGGATTTTCTTTGGAGGTGACAGGAAGCCAGGATGTTGATATAAACTGATTTATATTTCGAAAAGATCATCACGGCTGCTGGGTGGAAATATCAGGAGAAAGACGGTAAAGGAGGAAATGGGGAAACCAGTTAGGAAACCACTGCAATAGTCTAGGCTAGAAATGATGTCAACCTAGGCAGAGATGGAACAGAAAAGACACATTTTTGTGGATAGAAATGACAGGCTTATTTAGGAATTGGATATTGGGAATGAAGGAAGATCACTCCCTGGTTTCTAACTTAGGCAACAGTAGTACCATTTTTTTACTGACAGAGAAAACACGAAAGGAACAAGTAGAGGGAGAACAACAGTCAATAGTTCTATTTTGGAAATTTAAAATTTACAGATGTCTGTTGAGACATCTGCACAGAAATGTCAAGGTAGATAAACAAAACTAGAGATAGTGAATAAGTTAATGCTAGAAATATAAACTAAGGAATACTGAGCACACAGACACCATGAGAATAGATCAGATCACACAGCTTAGTATAATTGTCAAATTTGGTGTATCTGGGGGTGGTGAACCCCACCCCCAGATACTCTGATTCAGTATGCCTGTAGAGAGGCAGAAGAATTTGCTTTGTAAAGTACATGGGTGATTCTAATGCAGCTGACCTTCATACTACATTTTGAGAAGCACTAATCTAGACAGAGGTAGGAGAGAAAAAAAAAGAAGGTCCGAAACTGAGAATTGGGAAATGCCAACATTTAAACCTTGGGTAAAGGGAGAAGACTTGGTGAAGGATACCGAATAGGAACAAAAAGAAAGGAAAAATTGGACAGTGGGGTACTCCAGAATTCAAGTAAATGAAAGGAGTGGTAAACTGCATTGAATACCACTGAGAAAAAAGTAAAGTGGAGAGAGAAAAGTGAACACAACAATGGATATAATGAAAGTCACTGGTCATCATTATGGGAAGAGGCAGAGATAATTTAGAGCACTTTAAATGGGAATGGGAAATGGGAAGTGAGGAAAATGATGACAACTCAAGACATTCTTCCCTCTGAAGGGGAGTAAATAAAAGGTGCAGCAATTGTGGAACAACAGAAGGTATGTGAGAGTAAATTTAGAATCCCTTCACAGTCCATTTTTGACCCAGATGTTTGGGTGTTTTACCAAAGTTACTACCTGAATTCTATTATGTCACATAATAAAGTTTTTTATTTTTTGTTTTTTTTTAAAATGCCTTTCACTTCAAACCTTAAACATCCCACCTATGGTCACGTAGAATTTTTCAGTATGGACTAGATATAAAACAAGTTTCCCCAAAAAACAAAGAGATCCTAAATTTCAAATGTTTCCTCTCTTCACAAAAAAGTAATAACCACTTCATCCCCTAGCTCTTAATGTTATTTACCCTTGCAAGATCCTCTATTTCAGAACTGAAGTTTGTTTCTCCTTCCATCATTTCTTCCTCTTCTAATGTTCGTTCATCATCAAAATCATGAACCAGCATGTCAGCTGATGGATCAAATTCATGGTCATCTGATGTTGCTGAACCCCCTGGTAAAGAATATTTCAAAAAGTTTGGTAAACCAAATTAAGTGTATCTTATTAGTATTAGTTTAGTGTATATGCTGTATTTATTTGAAGCTGGATAAAAGTCAAAACTACCAGGAAAAAGCTATGCATTGCAAGTATTATTTATTATTTTTAAAAAGTCTTGCCCCTACTCATCACCATTAAAAAGTTCTTCAAAAAGATTATTTTTTGCCCTGTCTCACCCCTATATATTCATAGTTACAACTGCAAAACTAAGAGAAAAATGTTTATAAACAAGAGTGTTGGCTGGGTGCGGTGACTCACACCTATAACCCTAGCACTTTGGGAAGTCAAGGTGGGAGGATCAGCTTGAGGTCAGGAGTTTGAGACCAGCCTGGACAACAGCAAGACCCGTATCTACAAAAAATTTTTTAAAAAATCAGCCAAGAGTGGTGGTGTGTTCCTGTAGTCCCAGCTACTCAGGAGGCTGAGACAGGAGGATCATTTGAGTATAGAAATTGGAGGCTGTAGTGAGCTATGATGCTGCTGTACTTTAGCCCAGGCAATGAAGTGAGACCCTGTTTCAAAAAAGTGTGTTGTGATTTTGTAACTGTGAAATTTAAGTTGTAAAGAATAAATGGGCATATCAAGTAAGAATAATCTTTTTATATGGGGAAAAATCATAATTCTTAACCATTTGCTTAATGTTTGATAGACCCAATAAGTATGAATCCCTCTGACCCCTGAAAAGAATATAAGTTGGTCCTCCATATCCGTGGGTTCTGCATTTGTGGATTAAACCAACCACTATCAAAAATATACAGAAAAAAACCTACATCTCTACTGAACATGTATGGACATTTTTCCTTGTCATTATTCCCCAAACAATAAAGTATAACATCTACTTACATAGTGTTTACATTGTATTAGTTATTATAAGTAACCCAGAGATGATTTAAAGTATACAGGATGATGTGCATAGGTTACATGCAAATACTACACTATCTTATACCAGGGACTGGAGCATCCACAATTTTGGTATCCATGGGAGGCCCACAGATACCGAGGGATGACTGGTATAGTTATCTGAATACAGTCAGTTTAGCTGCACTCAAATATTATTCTTCCATTAGCACTTCTTTGAAAATACATCTAATATTTGATTAGCTGTCCTTGACCTAGCTGATTTTGATCTTAAATAACTCAAAGAGTATAAAAGCAAAATTTATTAAAATTGCATACAGAACTCTTATCAAAGGCATTAAAATAATCTAGTGGGTAACTGATGAGTAAGCTAATCTATTTTTAGCTTGGTGGTTGAGGAATATTGCTGGACTCAATAAATAGGGTCAAACTTTGTAATAGTAGACTGTAAAGGCTGGGCATATATATTCTATAAAATATCCCCACATTTGACTTATCATCGAACCTAAACTTAAACTTGCAAAAGCACTGTTTACTAATAAACAAATGAATACTTAACATTAAAAAAATTAATTAGCAATTTTTTATCAGTTTAAGCTGTGGAAGGTTATATATTACTAGATGAACCTGTCCTTTCATTACACTCCAGCAAAAGAACACTTAAATGTCACAAAAGGGTTTTTACATCAATATACGCAGTAAAAGAATAATTACACTTCTAGTTGGCATTTGTAAATATAAAGAAAACAAAAAAGGTGGGTTATTAGTAAATTATATAATTGAATTTATGCTTTTGAAGTGAACTGTTACGTAAGTAAAACAAAGGGATATAGAGGCCAATTTCCTGAAAACCTGACAATTATGAAAAGGGACAGGATTCTTCAGTCACTTCCCACAAGTTTTAGAGTAAGAACCATTTTTTGAGTAGTTATTATGTGCCAGATAGTATGCACAAGCACTTCACGTACATTACCTCAATTAATGCTCAAACAATCCTGTGAAGTAGGTATTATCACCCATTTAAAGAGAAAAAAACAAAAGCAAGACTCAGGGAGGGCTTAAAGAGTTTAAGTAGCATGTCTAAATCCACAGAGCCAGTAGATGGCAAAGATGGAATTTGAATCCTGGGTATGCTAATTCCAACACCTACCCTTTAACTGCACTCCAAACTTCCCGTAATTCATGTAAATATCCTGCTTCAAAGAATACTTAAGGAGAAAGCCTGTTTACTAAGATGAGCGAACTGCAAGCCAGGTTAGATGGCAAAGCACTTAGAAGTCATTGTGCCCTTTGAGAAGCGTAAAAAAATATAAAATAATTAAATAATTATTTGCCAAATCAGATATCAACTTATACTAGATTATAGTAAAAATGAGTTAGCAACATCTATCAATGTTTTAGAATGACTAACAAAATAAAAACATTTAGAAAAGCATACTATCTTAATTTCTTCCAGAAATTAAGCTTGGCAAAATTTTAGTAGAACATCTTAGTGCTGCTTGAGGGAATGGACACAGGGTTCCACGGGAGCACAATCTGAGAACCACTAATTTAGTTGCAGTTTTTTTGTGCCAGTTGTTATCTCTCCTGAGTTTTCAATGAAAAACTCTCCTGGAACTTTTCAGTTCACCCAGGAATCTCCTGAGATACCTAGTAGCCAGTAACTATGTATTCCTGCAGATGATGGAATACTTTTCTTCTCTCTTACAGACAGAGAAACCCTAAAAAAAACCCTCACAAATCTCTTTGTATTACCCCAATCAGAATATAATTCTTATTGGATGTAGGTATTGTCAAAAATAATTATGTTTAATTCCTTAAGAACTTATCGTTAACTACAAACTACTCTATTAACTACAAAAAAATTCAAGCTCATAGGAGTACACCATCAAATCATGAGTGTCGTATGACTTACTTGAAGTCCCCATTTTTTGTTCATTATTTGCAAAGCCAATTGTATGTGAAGAGTTACACTTCACTTCCTTACTACATCAAACAACAAAGTGGAGGTGAACTTTTTCCCCTTCTCACTACAATTCCTTTCCCAACATACACACTACACTTTTTTCTACAAATTTTCAATTTCAATTTTTTTTCTTGCCTTAATTTGACCTCTTTGTTTTATCTGACTTCTTTTTACCTTGTTCTTTAGGACCAACTAACCTTCCTATTATTCCTGTCACTTGCTAGGCCCATTGTTAGGTCTCCTAGGGAAAAAAATTCTCGATAGAAAATGATTACGGGTAAGGAGCAAAATAAATATATTTTGCTCAGAGTTGAGGAAAATACCACTGCTTTGTCATAAAATCACAGCCTACTACAGAATTACTAAAAGGTATGTTATATCTTTTCACAGACTGAAAGATAAATTCAGCTTATATCACATTCACTCACTTAGTCACTCTTTAAATTATCTTCCCCTCCCTTATCTTCACCTCTAATGGCTACTAGTCTTACAGTAAAGCCTTATATTGTGCCTCCACTTTGGTTTACACTGGTGGAGTCTATAGACAAACCAATTCACGTGATCATGTGACTATTACTTCTAGCATTGATTCCAAAGTACAGATGCTACCAAGGACACAGCCTTGTACCAGTAGACAAAAGTTTTTTTTTTTTTTTTTTTTTACATGAAGCCTTTATTCCTAATTGTTTCCACCAATTTTTGTAACTGTCTATAACTAGCACTATTTATAGGAATAATAAATATTACCTTGGGCGAAAGTCTGATAATACAAATGTTAACTCAAAAGATCTTCCTCAGTCTGAAAACAATCTAAAAAAATATAAATATTCAATCTATATATATAAGTATTCAACAAGCCGCAAAGGCTATTAAAGATTTTGTATTCTTCCAACACCACTATTTTTCCAGTTCAGCCTAGGCTGACTCAAATGCAATGAAAACCGAGAAAGTCATTTATTCATACTGCTTTTAGAGTGATTATTTTTATATATCCATGTATTACCTGACGAATGCCTCAAAAATTCATAAAAAATAACTAAAACTCAGTATAACACCTAGAATCTATTTTTTCAATGAAAATGTTTTCTGTGTTTGAAAGAAAAAAAGCTGGAAACAATTCAATGGCCTAAAAAGTATATGACAATCTAGCACTTTTCTGAGGTCAGATTACTTCTAACCTCAACCATCCAGAATATTTTATAAACCAGGAAGTTAAAAAAAAAATCCCTGAGTTTCAGAAATGTCACAAAGTTTAATGTACTTTACTCCCAAACATATCAGAAAGAATATTTTCTACTGAAATAAAGAAGACAAAATGAACTATCAATTGAGTACACTAATCATTTAAAAAAGATGTGGAGGTGATTTTGTCCAACCCTCACAGAGTACAATGATTTGTGTTCATGAAAAAGACCCTGAACCATGAAAAAAGGCTTATGTTAAGCATTTTTAAAAAGCTTTTTTCCTAAAACTCAAAACACAGAAAGATGATTGCTTCGATAATCTGGAAAATTCAGTAATGTGGAATATATCTAAATATTCGATATGTGAGATGTTGTCAAATAAAATGTTACCCTGGCTCAGAAGGCTCCCTTTCTCACTCTTCTATGTTGGGCTGCTCCTTAACCCGCATACCCCACACGCAGAAGGCAGTCTTATCTCTTCTCGTAAAGTCACTGGACGCTGAGGCCAAGAGACTACTAGTACCTGACTCGTTCTTTACTGCTATTTAATTCTAATGAATTATTACCATGTAGGAATGCTGTACCCAGTAGTGCAGATTCTGCAATTGATACTGAGAACCCTAAATCCAGATTTTATATAAAATATTCTATTTTTTAAAGATCACTACAGCAATCAAACAAAAAATATTTGTGACCCAGATTTGGTCCAATGATCACAAGTTTGCAATCTCCCAAGTTTGGAAGAAATGATTCTGCACTGTTTTGAGAAAGAACACAAAAATCCTAGATGTATGGTCAGAGGATAAAACTTGATCCTATAAATCTAAGAATAACTTCCTTAATTTACAACATTAAATATTCACTTGTTGAATCTTTTGCTTACTTTATTTTTCCCTCCCTCTGTAAATGCATTAACAATTTTTTTCCTCAGATAAAATACTTTGAATTTCCTACACAAGCAAATATTTCTAAGCTAACTGATTCCTGTTTAAAAAATATACTTCATATATACTTTAAGTCAAATAATTTAAAACTTTAAGAAATACATATGGCAATTCATTTAAAAAAAAAAGAAATAACACCAAAATAGTCATGACGATGAACTCATAGCAGCCTCACCTGTACTTTCATGGGCAGTCAAACATTTCATCCATTTCTTTTTCCCCAGAGAAAAGAAGCATTCAGAAGAAAAGCAAGTCAGATGACAGTCTAACTCTTCTAACTTTTATGCAACTAACAGGACAAATATTAGTCAAATAGAAATTATAAAAAATATAGAAAATACTTACCTGGACTTGAAGATTCAACAGATGGCTGGGGGCCGGGGGCGGGGGTGAGAAAAGAAGAAAAATTAGCATTTTTAGAGAGTATATCTTCACGAACATTACAGGAATTATTCAATGACTAATATGACACTAAAAACTATAGTAAGTTTTAATGTATGAATTATCTAAGACAAACTAAAACTTCCTATATAATCCTTTCCCTTTCATTATACTGAAGCATAAAGAAAAATTCAAAACTCTCCTGAATCTAGAAACAATTATATAGATTGATTCAGACTTTAAAGGCAAATATGGACCTCATAACATGTGGTTTAAGAGGCAGAATTTTAGACTTTGGAATTTTCTAAAATAGATTTTTTCCTATCAATACAGAAAAAACTATGTATAAAGTTTGGTCTCCGGCTTCAAAAAATGAGTATGAGAGGGAAGGGGTAAACAATTTAAGACATTACTTTAAATAAAAATTATGTTGTAAAAAAACAGAAGGAAAAATTAAAATGCTATTTAAGCACCAGACACTACATTAGGTTAACTTTACTAATAAACAACATATTAAATTATGACAGAATTAGCAACCATTCAAGCTTAGGTTATCTGATGGAAGACCACGGATTCTCAATTATAATGCTCCCTCTACTGTACCATTCTATCTCTCATAAAGTTAACCACAAGCAAGTGGAAAATTTATAGATAAAATTAGTAGCAACTTAGTAATGTTACCACTTGTAAACATAGCATGCAGCTATGTTTTAACTTTATTCAGTTAATTTACAATTATAAAGTCATCTACAAATACAAACTACAAGATAAATTCAATAATAAAAACTCAAAAGTTGTTTCAAATGACACAAACTTTATGACTAAAACCTTGCCGATTCATTCAGAGCTATAGATTTCATGCTCATTAGAAAAAGAGATGATAAAAGGCTAAAAGTACTAGCAAAGGAGAGACATGGATTCGGTAGTACTTTATTTCTTCCTGCTAAGTAATGGGGCAGAGAGGCAGGAAGGAGAACAAAACAGAAAAGAGGGAAATGTTCAATTTTTCAAAAGCTAAGCATCTAAGCCAAATTCCTATGAGATATTAAAATTCTGTTTTAAAAACTGTCCAAATTATTCAATTGTAGTAAGCATGGAATTCTAGATTCCACATGGTGACTCATGTGAAGTTCTTTTGAGGCAAATTTTTTCAAAGGTCCTATTTTGTTTTCTTTTAAATTCTTATAAGAGAATGATTCTTTCCTTTAGCACTGTACAACAAAAACTGACAGTATCCAGTATTATATATTTCCAATGTCACACCACTATCATTATTTAAAAGTTACTCTGCCAGAATACAGTCAATACAGTGCTACTTTTTAATTTGGTTCCTCTAATGGGAAGCTGGAGAGTAGGATGACATGGAAAGAGTAATGTGACCACAAAATGGTTTCTAGCTTGCTTAACATCTTTTGGGCAGAGCTACACATTTCTGGCTTAAAATAGATTGAACCACCACACAAGTTATTATACAGCAAATCAATATTTTAAAATATTAATCCATTTGTGTTTCATGCAGTTATACTTTATTTCCCAAGTGTAAGCACAACCCCTGTGCAAAGTTACAGCAATGTTAATGACCATCTTCATCTGGTCCCAAGTTCGCTATCCACGCAGTAACTTTATGAATTACTCCAATAATTATTCCATTTATTATTCTTAATAAAAAAGGCTTTCTGATTAAAGATGTCATGCTACTGAAGAATAAAAAATACACTTTTATAGATGTTAGATATTAACAGGGACTTTGAATGGCAAATGGTGTTTGTGTACTTCAGTTCGTAAAGGCCTCACCAGCATTAAATGCCAATAAATCTCTCACTGGCTGTTGTTTTACTGGTAAATAGTTACCATTTTAAAGTTCTGAAAAAGGCCTCAAATACTTTCCGATCATTAAGCTACCAAATGTTTAGAGGACTGGTAGCATTTGTAAGCATGGCTAGTATAGAGCAAAACATCCAGTATTCCGAAGATAACATTAATGATCGTATTATAAATACTAGAATGTTTCCAAGACTGATTTGAAGCCATATCTAGATTAGCATGGGGGAGAGAAAATAGAGATGGTTTGCCTATACATACATGTTAATATTTTACATCCAAAATAAAATTCTATTGTATCAGCTTGGGAATAGGAGTAAGATTAGTTTCTTGAAAGGTAATTATATCCAATTAAATCTAAGATGAGTTCCTAGAAAACTGGCATTTGAAAACAGTTTATACTGTAAATATTACTTATACTATCAAAAATGATTATCTTTCAAGATCGAATGTGAGTTTAGTGTAATACAAGAGGTTTCAGTGTGCAGTGAGAGCAGTTTTTATTTAGGTATGAAAGAGAACTGCAGAATCAGCTTACATTTATATAGTGCTAAACATTTTCAAATGCATCTAATTACTTGATCATAACCATAAATCTGGCAATAATACCCATTCCACCCACCTCGTTTTATAGATTAGTAAACCCAAGGAGATAAACTGACTAGATCAAGATTCCACGGTAGGTGGTGGAGGCAGATCTGAAGCCTACAACCTCTGACTTCTCAGTGTTTCTTCTATACTTTCTAGAGAAATAACTATGTAAAAATTTTTCTCTTTACCTCCCTCCTCCTCATCCCTTCCTTTCTCTTTTCTTTTTAAAATGGTTTTCAAAGCATGTTCAAAAATGCTTTCAGTACTGCCAGTACTCATCTGCCATGCCAGACTGTTACCTGTCTCTTTAGAAACTGTTATCTCTAATACCCTCCAGGAAAACTTGCAACATCTACCATTAATTACTACAGTAAATTAGAAAGGGGAAAGGAGAGAGAAAAAGACTAAAGCTAAACAAGTACTTATTTGTAACAATACCTATTTTTAGAAAAAGCTCAAACTACAGAACGTATGCGGGAAAGAAGATTTAAAATTGGGGATTAAAATGTATTTAAAATGCATTCATACATTACTGGTAGGAATATGAGTTGTTTCAACCATTCTGGAGATCATTTTGCCAACATGAACTTACCCTGCCAACACACTTAAAGTACACCACAATATACGTTTAACATTCTGTACTATAATGTTGTTCACAGCAAAAAGTTGGAAAAAAACTGAAAGTCTACCATTTAACTAGTTAAAAATGATACACAGTTCTCCTAAACAATAGAACACTATGAATACATCAAAAAGAATGAAAAGTCTGTGTCTACTGATAGAGGGAAAAAATGCTAAAAATATCTATATCTATCTATCTATATAGACATATATAGTTTAAGAAAGTGTAGAAAGAGATAAATTGGGCTGGAATATGTATAAAACTTTTTCCCCAAAAGGATTCACAAGACTCTGTTAACACTAGTTATATTTGGGTCAGGGAGGAGAGGTTTTGCATGTTATACTTCTTTTTTTAAGAGACAGAGTCTTCTCTGTCACCCAGACTGGAGTGCAGTGTGGCCTGGTAACAGCTCACAATAACCTGGAATTCCCAGGCTAAAGCGATACTTCCGCTTCTACTCTTGTAGTGTGCCCAGGCTGGTCTTGAAACCTTGGCCTCAAGCAATTGTCTTGCCTCAGCCTCCCAAAATGTTGGGATTATAGGCATGAGCCACCATGCCTGGCCTTTTTTTTTCAAGTTTAAACAACAAAAATTTATCTTCTCACAGTTTTAGAAGTTACGAGTCCCAGATCAAGGTGCTGGCACAATCAGTTTCCGGTGAGGCTTACAGACAAGCTGCCTTCTCCTTGTGTTCTCTTTCTTCTGTGTTCTTGAAAAGAGAGCTACCTTTCTATACTGTTGGGATTTTCTAACCATTTTCATGCACTACTCATTCTTTTTAAAAACAAAGTCGGTGGGGATTATTTTGTGGAAGTATGAGCCATTTCCATTTTCTTCTCCTACTTTTCGATTCTGAGAAAAACCTAGTACTTCCTACTATCTTTTTAAAATCTGTAATTTTGAAAAATTAGGGGTTTTTTTTGGGGTATATACATATTTATTTTATCTGACATGGAAAACAACACTACAGAGATAGAAACACACACAAAGTATGAATGGGCTAAATCAAATAAAAAAACAAACTCTAGTAACTTTTATAGCAAGCCACCCTCACCCATCTAGTTGATAAAACTGCTAACAGTTCTATCAAATATTGAATGCCTCAGATTTGAATATTCTCTTTTATATTTTTCTAGAACATGGTGGGAAATGTTCCATACAACAGAAAACTGTAATTTGGGAGAGTACAAGATTAACTACACAGTACCATTATTTTTACCAAAAAAAAGGTAGTAAATATACAAAGTAATCATTAGACCTTTTTATTCTAAGAAATCAAAAGCTTATTTTCAATGAGTACAACTGTCTGAATGAATTTTTCCCCTCAAATGAATTCCAACACCATTTTTTAAAGTGTTGCCATTACTTAGTTATGTACACTCTAATTCAGAGATTCTCACAGCACTGGAGATGGGGACAGAAGCCAGGAAGGAGTTAGGGGCCCTGTTGCAGGGTGAAAAGTAGAGGGGGTACCATGCCAGGGGCTAGCCATCCCTCTTCCCCCACACAAAATTAAGTCACTTAATTTAATTTTAATTCCAATTACTATAGGAGTAATAATTTAGAGGATAGAATGGTATTATAGAAAATAAGCTCTAGAAATTCAGAAGCCTGGGTCCCAGTCTTAATTGTGCCACGACCTAGGACAAATTGCCTAATCTCTCTGCTCAGTTTCATTTTCTTTATGAAAAGATTTAGATTTCTTCAAGTTTAGTTCAATTTCCTTCAAGATCTAACTACTTTTATTATGAATTGTTAAAAAAGCATACTACTAAGGAGTGCTTAGCTAAATGGATATGTTTAACAGTGTCTTCTGAATTTATCTTTTTAAAATCTAGGGGCTGTAAGGAAAAAATAGTCTCAATTAGCAAAAAAAAACTTTTTTGGGGTGCTACTTTATTAATTTCGTACCTACATAAAGTTATTCTTTTAACTCATAGAATAACTCAAACAGAATGGGCACCAAGCAATGACTGATACTTAACAGTTTAATCATTCAATGAATTTTGAAACTATTTGCAAATCTTTTAAAATATGTAAACACTCAATCTGAACATCAAGTAAGAAATTTCTATACAGCTGATTACTTTTCATAAAGACATGCTTAAGCTTCAACGGCAGTGTTTTATTTCTGAGTCATCTGGAAAACTAATTAGTCTTATTTACCAGAATTACCTTAATATAATACACTTCTTTATTTTTCCCACCAAACCTTTCCCACCCTATCAAGTACTTTGACTCTTAGTTCCACAGAATTAAGCTTCCTAGGACTCTCACGCATTGGTGTTCTTGACTACTTTGGATAAAAACCTTAATAGCTCTGAAGTATAAATTCTAAAAAAACAGTTCAGTTCCAGTGTAGAGAATTATTTATAGCTTAAATTCATTGCAGTGAAACAAGTTTTGCTTAGAGGAGAAATTAACATTTTGAAGAGTAACATTTAACAAGTTCCTACTTCCTTAACAAACAAAATCCAAATACACTCAAAAAACGCTAAGCAAGGAGTCTGTTTTTAAAAGAAATAAATAGATGTGATAGGAAATAAAAAGATTATATATCATTTTTGGAAGCATTAAAATACTTAAAATAAATGCAGAAAAGCAAATCCAATGAATTTTTTCTCTTTATATCACAGAAATGTGGCCTAGGTGAAAAGATAGATCTAGTTGTGTGCCGTGGTTTCTTTTCCTTGAGAAGAAAGTCCCTTATGTGTTTACAAACTCTGAAATAAAAGACAAATTGTTAGTTCCCAAAGGTCCCTACACCACATTCTTTATAAAACCCAAAGGACCAACTATTTCTTATTTTTTCTTTCTCACTGCCTTCATAAAACTGCAACTACCCTGTAATTTTCTTCCTTTAAGTGACTAGGAGAGCCTCCTTTCAGAAGGTCAGTAAATAATTTTAAGGGATAATAAGCTATGAGAAATATTGCCAAAAAGTATTAAGAAAGGAGCATATGTCATTTCTTCTAAGCACATTAAGTATGTTTATAATGTTACCACAACTGAACAACCATTAAATGTATACATCCTACCATGGACTAAGATAATCAGATCAAGTACGAAAAATTAGTATATGCTATTCACATCTAAAGCAATCTGTATTTAAGAATTAAATATTTTTTTGGTAAACAAGGTCAGGGTGATGCTCTTATGTAGAAAACAACAACAAAAAAACCCAGAAGCATAATACCTACATTTTTCTCTGGAGACATGCTTCTTCAATAACCTGTTTTTCCCCTCAGATTTATCAAATACATACATAGTGTTGCTTTGCACTTACTGTTATTTCACAAGATATCCTTCAGAATCCTCAGGTCTATTTGATCAAAAGCACAATAGTTGAACATCTGAATTATTTTAACACACGCTGTATATTGGCATCATAAAAGATGAACCCACTGAGAGCTCAAACAAAGGCCAAGTAAAAGAACTCTATAAACCAAGCATTTCTCCATCTAATTTTTAAACTACTGGTCTCAAAAATCATCCTAATTACTAAAGCATTGAGACTCGGAAAATTATAAATTACTTTTTCACCTCTTCATCTGTTTTATATTTTTTTTGTAGGACACAGATCAAGAAGGTTCTTCTACTCTTCCCCAAATTCATTATAAATAAAACCATCTATGAGTAATTGAAGAATATAAAAGAGAAATTATTCAAAGATACCAGGTCATTAAATAGATGCACTGAAAACAAAAGTCAGGTTTTTTTCTTCTTGAAATTGAACCATCCATGTGTTCCTACAAAACAGGAGCATTCCATTCTCCAAGTGACAAAATATTTAAGAAACTAAAACATATACTAGAAAAAATTTGGAAATGACTAGTGACTCAAAATACTGTTTTCCCTTTACCTTACACTAGTGTAACTATAATTTCTAGAAAAATAAAAAATGCTAACATAGCTTCATTTATATATTGTTTTTAGTACACTGGGCAGTAAAATGTCTGGGTGAGGTTTTTTAAAGCTTAAAATAAACTGAGCTGTTTTCTTTCAATAATATCTTGCTTTAGAATAGGACTACACAACTTCAAGCTCAAACCACTGTGAGCAGCATCACCAGGGAAGAAAATCACATTACCTACGCAGCATATTACTGCTTATTTAATGGATATTCACTGAAAACGGAGTCCACTGAAGACTAATTGACAAAATGTATGTAAATTCAGGTACATACAACTTCTTCTTCCCCTTAAATATGAAGGAAAGAAACACATAAGAACCTCACCAGGATTAAAATCCAGGTACCGTCAGTCCACTGGAATAAACCCAGTCACATTTAAGTGAAATAGAAAGTACTATGTTCTCCACCTCACGTACCTTGAAATACAATTCTTTAACCACGATGAGCAAAAGAAATGAAAACAAACATAACATCTAAATTTAGATGTAAATCAGAAATATTGAATGTTTTCAAAAGACTACTGGCAGCAAACAGTCCTGCTACAGTAAAATCTCTCCCTGCTTTCCTGAATGTTTTTGGGTGCCTCCGAAACCATGAAAATGACAACTCATACAAGAGAAATGCGTTATCAGTCCAAAATTTAGAATGGCTTATCTCAACGGAGACATAACTATGCCAAATATATTACCTCGAACTCTAGGGGATAAAGAATACTGAAATTCTTCCACGGGTAAGAAAAAAAAAGTAAACAAAACATAACCAAAAAAATCCCCACAAAACTTTCGATGCTTAAAGGTTTAAACTAGAGGCAAAAATTTAAATTTCCAGTAGCATATACTAAGTTCCAATTAGTGATAAATCCACAGCGGTTATTTGCCCGCCTATTTGAGGCCCAAATATGTAAAAAAAATCTACTATCAAAGAAAGGGGCTTTGGGAACTTGTTTACTAGAAAACGAGCAAAAAGAAACAAGAAAAATCTTCTCCAAGCAAAGAAAAATCAGAAGAAAACGAAGGCAAGAATAGGTAGCCTCGACTCGGAAGGTGGGAAAAATGCCTGGAAAGTGAAAGCGGGGTGGAAAAGCAACTCAGAGGTTCTACCTCGGGGAGAGAACGAACTGTTTGAAAAAAAGGGGAGACTCCCGCAACCTGGAGGGCTGGATTGCGACTGGCCAGGTTAATTTCTCCACGCTCATACCACCCTCAGGAAAATTACAGAGTTAATCAAAGGCCGTCTGCCTTACGTTTTCCCCACCAACACAGACTGGATGTCAGTAGCAAACGGATGGGGGTAACGCGGAAGGGCGCAACAGCATCTCGGTTAGGAAAGGAAGAAACTTCGCAAGAGGAAACAGCAGCTCCTCTCCTGGCCCCTAGCACCGGCCGGCGAAGTTGCGCCACAGGCACCCCTTCCCCAGGGGAGCCCCCTCGCCCTCGCCCCGCACTACTACGCAGTACTACCCTTCAAACTGCCCCCGAAGTCCAAGTACGTCTCCGCTTCCTCCTAACCCCCGGACCCATCCCAACTAAGTTCCAGGCAAAGCTCCCGCCCAGAGCACGGCCTGTTCCGGACAACAGGTGGGCAGTGGCGCCAGCAGGGCTGGGCCTCTCCTAGCCAGGCCCACTCCACTCCTCCCCGGCCAGGGCCCGGGGGCGCCCGGCTCCGGGACAGGGAGGGGGAGCTCGCTCCCTTACCTCCGCCATGTTTGCTGTACTGCCGGGTCACATCTCCGCGGCGGCCGCAGCTGGGTCACGGCCAGAACCCGGATGTGAGACTCGGCAACGGGACTCCAGCCGCCGCCGTCTCTGCCGCTCCCGCCGCCGCTGCCTCGGCGGGAACGCGCAGGAGCCGCCCGAGCGCGCCCACCACACCCCACTCCGCCCCCTCGCGGCGCCCCGGCTGGGCTGGACTGGAGGGAAAAGGCCAGCGAGCACGCGCGGGAGCAAGGGAGCGCGCGCGCGGCCCCGCAGCCGGCCCTCCCCATCAAGAGCGCGGAGGGGGCGGAGTCAAGGTGGGTGTGGGGGGAGGTGGGCATCCCCGCGAGGGGCGACTCTCGCGCCCCAGCTAATCCTCGACTCGAGCCCCCGGGGAGGGAGCCTAGGGAGCACAGAGGTCAAGGAACAGTGCCAAAGGGGCCATGTCCAGCACTTACATAGCAGCGGAAAAATACGTAATATTTTACATGTCTGTCATTTTTTGAAGTGCATTTGCTGGAAAACGGATGTTGCTCTGATGCAACAGCGGCAAGAACTGCGCTTTGAAAGCGGTTATCCCTTGACAAATATTTCTCTCTGGATTGATTCCCTACAGGAAATGTAAAATCTTATAACCCAAAATCTTTAGAGAGGCCAGAGCAAAGATTAAGGAAAGGGATTATAATAGCTAGTCTACCATCCTTGTATGTCATTTGCTTTTTCCTCATACATTTTCTGTGATGCCATTAGCAGCACAGTTGTGCAACGGTTTGCATTTTGCACAATTAGACAAAATGCAAAAATGTGAAATACTGAAAATCTGCTCTTTGATGGATATAAATAATCTCCTACTAAACTGCATGGAGGGAGAACCTACTTATTTGCAATGCCTAAAATGCCTGTAATTTGAAAGTTTATTTTAATGTATTGGCCTAGAGCTGCCAATTGGCCTTGATGCCAATTCTGATGATTGCCAGAGCCAATGATTTCAAAGTAATATATATCACTCCCATTACTAAGGCAGATACTGATAATACAAAGGTAATGTTAAAACGGGCACTGACACATTTTACTAAACCAGGAGCTAAAAAGTTATTTCACAAGATTGGGATTTTTCAAATCTTCAAGGGTTCCTCTTAGTGCAGTTTCAAAAGTGACTATGAAAATCAACCAGTTAAATATAAAAATTATTAATTCCTTCTAAATAATGTGAGCCACTGCTACAATATATTGCATAAATGTATACATAAACAATTTTTCTTAAAGTTCATACTTAAATTATAATGCAATACAGGGGAGGCTGTTTTCTTAAATTGTTTGTATTTCCTTAAAATTCTAGACGCTACCAATCATTTTCCTATTTCCAAAGATTCAACATTAACTTGGAACTGTTATGTCTAATAATAATTTGTGCATGAATAAACTGCATTTATATGAAGTAGCTGCTAAGTGAAAGGACATTACCTGGTAATTTGACAGGAAAAGAGTCCACAGACAGTCTGTAAACCAATTAAACATAAACATCTGATGCACATTTTCTACTGAAAGAAAAGCAAGGGAAAGAAGAGAAAGGAAAACTTTAAGGTTCCCAAATCTACAAACAATTTTTACCATTAACTGTACTGTACAGTATTTTCATTTTATTTTTTAGAAAACTTATGTAAAAGTTTTTTTCAAGATTCCCTGGGGGAATAAATACTTTAACATAGGTATATAGTTTCTAAAAGTTACCCTATTGAATTATGTTAATCTTTTGGACTTGAAATAATGATTTCCTACAAATGTCAGTTCATATCCAAATAGTTTTCACTTGATACTCTTGATGAAAAGAGCTGAAGGCAAAGAACAATGGATGTACATGGACCTAAGGTGGGTACAGATAAAAAGAATAAGGGGCCTAGAGGTAGAAACTCAGGCTTTATACCATGGAGATGAATGAGGATTTTTTTCATTAAAACACGAAAGCTAATTTATGAAATTTAGCTGGCTACCAAAAGGAAAATTAAAGTTTTATAATACAAAGTTCAGGAATAACTGGCTGCCTTAAGTGCATTGAATCTTTGATTCTTCAGTTAAACCACCAACAAAAATCCCAACTGTGATAAAGGGCAGGAGATCATGGTCCCTTAAGCTACTGAATGTATTCTGAAATTGTCAGGAAAATTGAGGTCTGAGACATTTTTGAATGGGTATCCATCTTACTGTTAAATGACTTTTAAGTTTGTTAATATTGTATATCAGTATTACTAGCTTTAAATGGCTTTGAAGGAAAACAAATTCCCTCGACATTTTTTTTTTTCCCCTTCTTTATAAATGTGAGTTCAGTTGGGTTTTTCGGTTCAGATATTCTGAAGGGAAAGAGAAACAGCTCTAATACTGTAATATATAGGTAAATTACTAATGAATTCAGTATACTTTCAGTTTCTTTAAAATTTGAGGAGCCACCTTACGGAATGTAGTCTTTCTCAAAACTCTTGCTTACCCTCTTCAGTATCAAATGTGTAAAAATTAACTATTCATTAGTCAGAGGATATTAGTGTTAGATAGGAGGTCTTTAGTCAGTTCTCTACTCTGCCAGGATAAGAATTATGCCCTCATTATGCTTCTGCTACCAGGCTTTTCTACCTACGTTTAAACACCTCGAATGACCCACAATATCTTATAAAGAGGCTGCTTTTTTAAAAAAACATGCTCAAATGCTTGGAACATTCTTCCCTTTATTAAGCCAGTATCTACCTCCTTGTTATTTCCATCCATTACCCTTAGTTCTTCAGCACTTTGGGATTAATTCAACAGTTATCTTCTTTGTATCCAAATGCAAACAGTCAATATTTATACTTGGTTTAACAAAAAAATATATCTTTAAAGTCTACTGATACTAGAAGAGCTGAAAACGGACATGACAGAGCTAAAGGCATGAGAAAATTCACCATTTACTATGACCTGTTTAAATTATTACACTTTGTTATTTATTAATGTGATATCCAAAACAGCAGTTTTGTTAAAATTGTGTAATAAAATGTTTAAAGTTAAACTAAAAAGTATGGTTAATACCAATTTTATAGGGTTCGTGGTTAATGTCCCAAAACAAAAAAATCACTATACAAAGCCTGAATAAATAAATGCCTTTTTATCTCCTATTCCCCACCTAAAGTCTTCCTTATTTTCAGGCAAATCAACATTAATTTTTACCACATTAAGCTACTCAAAACTGCTATTATGTTGACAAATTATTTTTAAACAATCTACTGAATCCTCCATTCAAAAGTTATTAAACAATTCTATACAGGCTATAAGGCAGGTACACACGTGTACACACAAACACATACACACACACACAAGAACCCCTCAGAGTTATTTTACCATTAACAAAAGCATTTAGGGTCACAATTTTACTTAAATCAGTACTTTAACCAATAAATAAACTTCTTTGGCAATTTACATATACGTAAGAAATATAACCTTTCATTCCATACTAACACCTAATTCAAACACAAGCAATATATATCTATACTATATAAATTTATCTGTTATGCAACTCAAAAGGTACCTGTCAAAATGCACCAGGAAAATCCTGTATTTTAACAATTTAGACTGTGGGGCTGGCTGACTGAAATAGATTAATACAACACATCTAAAACCCTAAAAACAAATTCTATATCTAACAATTTTCAGGGTTATGAGTCCTTTTTGAGATTAAATTGTAAACTATTTTCTAAAATTTTTATTTAAAGGTGACAGACTACACCATATCTTCATGATGTGGAGGTAAAAATTTATGAATAATTACTAATTCAGCTGAAAATACCTAAATACCAAAACTTAACCTATTTTTTAATGACATTTTAGATAATTGAGTTTACCTTTAACTTTAGTACGCAGCATGCAGGTTGTAAAGCAGTAATGCATTACATTTAGAAGCCCCATATCTATGCAACAATCAGCATCATCTTTTTGTTAGATCGATTTTTATTATTAATGCCACCCTAAAACATTTATATAGCCTTTTGGTTCTTCAAAGAACAGTTTTGGTTTTTCTTTTCATCATTTTTACATGGAGTTTTATCCAGTGGCCCCACCATTTTATCAGAATATTACAAACTGGTATGTTTATGGTTCTTACATTATTGACATGTTATTTTTATCTCACCCAAATTCTGGAAATTATTGGCCCATCAGCAGTTCTCAAACACTGGAACATATAAGAAGAGTAATATAACATTTATATTACTTGAGGGAGTTTGGATTTTCCCTCCCTTAATTTCCAAGTGTGCCCCTGCCTACCAGCATCACATCCGTCTTGTCTGCATTGAACCTCAACCAGTTGGTTCTTAACCACGTCCGAAACTCAGCCAGGCACTGGGAGAATCGAGCGACCACACCATCTGGATCAAAGGGAAAGAGAGCCTCAGTAGCAAGGAGACAAACGATGATACCACAAGTTCACCATTCACGCAGCTTCATATCTTTAAAGGTGGCCAGGAATTAGGACAAGCATCCCGTGACAATTTTAGAAAAACATTAATAAGCCTTGAGTCATGCAATTTGTAACCAATGGTAAAGGAATAAGGGCGACCCAATAAATAGGTCGCCTCATTCCACCCATGAGTGAAGAAGGGTCGGTCAACTGCAGGTCATCTTGGCTAAGCAGCCTCAGTAGCCAGGCTGACCTTGTAATTGCATACGTTTTTCTGCAGAATTAGTTTTAGCGTTGTAGGAAGTTTTAAATAGGGAAAATTGAAGCCCAGAGAGGGTCAGTCGCTCGCTCAAGGTCACACAGCATGCGAGGACCAGAGATGGGCTCCAGGCCAGGGACCTATGCATTACAAGCTGAAAGAACAAGGCCACTCAAAGAGGGGCAGGCATCTGTCCGAGCGCGTGAGAGGACCTCGTTCCCTCATAGTAATGCCTTCTTCGAGTCTCCCTTCCCTTCCTCACGCCCTCCGAAAAGGGCAGGTTGACCCAGGACTCTGCTCACCACAGGGGCTCAGTGCAAGCAGGAGCATCCCTGGGATTGGGACACAACAGAGGTAAATACTGGGGGAAAGAGGCGGAGCCACGGGGGGCGGGTGGTCATCTTAGCCCCACCCCGACCGGGATCAGGGGCAGACAGGAGGGGCGGAAGCAAACGGGGCGAGGCGAACTCACTCCGTAGCGGATTCCCAGCGCGCCGCCGCCACCGCAAAGGCAAAAAGACGGGGTTAGGAGGTGGTGGGCGGCGGAGGGGAGTTGCGCATGCGCCTTCGGCGGCTGGCGCCGCTAGGCGCGGGGAGGGAGCCAGGCGCGTTCTCTCTGGCAGCCCCTCCCCGGAAGTTAAAGGTCTTCCGGGCGGTACTGTAAGGTGGGGGAGGGGAAGGAGAGAAAGGGGATTGAGGACATCTCTGAAGCCCCTCATCCCAAGCAGGAATAGAAGGGGAGAGATGGTTTGTGGAGGCTGCACTTACAGCCGCTGCCGCTGCTGCCGCCGCCACCTTCCCTGCTGCCGCCGCCGCCTGAAGAAGCCCCATCCATCCGCCTGCAGCCCGAAGACTCAGAGCCTGGGAGGGGCCTAGGGCCCGGGCCGCCCGCCTCCTTCTTCGAGTCGTCGTCCGGAGCTTCCTCCTGCTCCACCAACCCTCTGCCCTCCCCTCCGCCTCCGCCCTCCTCCTCGGCCTCATGCAGCCAGCCAACCGCGCGGCCGCTTGTTGAGCCGGGGCTCCGCCGTCTCCATGACGCCCGGCAAACATTCCCGAGCCTCAGTTCCAGCCGCTAACGCCGGTAGTCGGGATACAGGGACTCCAGAAGCAGTGAGAAAAGGGGTGGTGGACCACTCCCCAGCCAGTCGCCATCATGCCAGTCTCTCCGGCAAACAGTCGCAAGCAGCAGAACTTCGCGTTGTAAGTTCCAGCGCTAAAACCGTCATAGTCCATCCCCGTGGTTCCCAGATTTGAAAAAGGGTTACCTTATTGCATCTGGGTTCAGTCTGCAGCTCTCGAAGCTCCCAGGCGGCAGTGACTCCTTCTTCTGCCTAGTACAGCCTTTTTCCTGTTTTTTTGTTTTGTTTTGGTTTAGTTTGGTTTTTGGTTTTTTTAGAGACGAGGTCTCCCTATGTTGTCCAGGCTGGACCCTAACTCTTGAGCCCAAGGCATCCTCCACCTCAGCTTCCCAGGTAGCTGGGACGACAGGCGAATGCCACCGCGTTGGCTGCCTAGTACAGCCTATTAAAAACCGCTACTGGTGTAGTTCCAGGTCTTTGCTCTGAAAAGACCTGGTTTGTTTAGAACCACCCTTTTGCTAGCACTTACAGTTTTTTTTTCGATTTGCAGTGTCTCAAGCTTGATGACTTCATGTTGTGCCCAAATACTCAGGCACCTCAGCTTCTGTGACCCACTAATCCAAACATTACTGTGGTCCATAATAGAGGTTTTTCTCTGCCAGCTCCTCACACCATCCTCCCTTAAAACTCATTCCTGCTTACGATATTCTACTGTTAGGCAGCAATTGAACAAGACTGGAGAAAAGCACACAGTTCTGCGGACTTGCCTCACTTATAACTTGAAATGGTTTCTTAGTGCTATCCACTAAGTTTCACTAAATTCCACTAAAATTCCTTAATTCGTTTGCTTTTCCACACTTCAAGATCACTTTTGTTCTCTTCTCATACCAACATCTCTCCTCTCCTCTCTAGTCTCCTCCAGCTCAGCCAATCTTTCTTCAGTGGAACTTGTTGAAAGTTCTTGGGAGAGAACTTTGCATTCTTTCATGAATTTGGTACTCAGGCTTTTGTCCATTCTACAACTCCATCAATACAGCTTTTATTAAAATCAGTAATACCTGTGCAACCAACTGCAATAGCCAATTGACAGTTTCATTCTTAACTGACCTACCAGCAGCCGTGATCTAGTTTATCACTTCTAGATTTTTGAAACACTTCATTTGGTTTCTGGGACACCACTCTTTCCTAGTTCTCCCCTTGGTTCATGGCTACTCTTTTTCACCGTTTTGCTGGTACTTTCTCATCTCTTCCATAACTACAGTGATATATCTGAAGGTATACCTTCTGAGAAATACCTAGTTAGGCAATTTTGTTATTGTGTGAACATGATAGAGTGTACTTATACAAAGCTAGATGGTATAGCCTGGTACCCACCTAGGCTATATGGTATAGCCTATTGCTCCTAGGCTACAAACCCGTACAGCATCTTATTGTACTGAATACTGTAGGCAATTGTAACACAATGATAAGTATTTGTGTATCTAAACATAGAAAAGATAATACCTTGTGCTTCAACTTTGTGACAGCTATAATGTTTTGTCATGAAGCAATAGGAATTTTTCAGCTCCATTATAATCTTATGGGACCCTCATCATATATGTGGTTCCTTGTTGACGGAAACATCGTTATGCAGCCGCTAATGTATAGGAGTGTCACTGGGTCAGTCCTTAAACCTCTTCTCTTCACTATTGTCTTACGTCTTTAACAATCACCTATAACAATGATTCACACATTTTTATCTTTAGTCAAGACCTCTCCCAAGAAAACAAACAAACAAACAAAAAAAAAAAATCTGCATTTGTAAGTTAATAGATATCTCATGACCCAAACCAAATATATTTCTTCTTTTCTAATTAACTCTGCAGTCTTTCTGATTTTAGCAAATAGGAAATTCTACTCTTTCAGTTACTTAGGTAAGAAACCTTGGAGTTACCCTTGACTTTTCTCTTGTACCCCCTTCCATAAGCAAATTCCACCATTTCTTCTTGCACAAAATAAACCCAGACTACCAGTCCAATGTAAGTCACAGCATTGCATTGCGGTAGCAACCTAAATAGTCTCCTTGTCAACACTTTCCACATGGTAATCAGTGTGGCTCTTCTGCTTAAAACCCTCCTCAAGTTTTCCCTATTTCACTCAGTAAAAGCTCACATATTACAGAGCCCCACAGAATCTCACTTTGGTTTCTTCCCTTTGGCTAGTTATACTCCATGTTGTTACACAACTATCCTATATTCCCAGTTTGGGGCCTATGCATTTGCCGCTCTTTGGAATATTGTGCCCCCAGATAATCTCTGATTCATTTCCTTCAGATGGCGCCATATCAAAGAGTTCTCTATCACCCTACATAAAATAATAATACGTCCTCTTTCAGCACTTTAGTCCCTCACCTTTCCTTTATTTTTGCATAAAATTTATTCCTAAGTATATTTATACCTGTGTATTAATCTATCTTCACCTAAGGAATAGTACTCCAGAAGGGCAGAGATTTTTGTGTTGTTCACTGCTATATCCACTATTGCCTAGAATAAAGAAGGTGCTAAGTAAACATTTGTTGACCGAATGAATGAGTATATACTTCGGGAACATTGGTTACTGCTCATTTTGTGTGGTGTTTGTTCTTACCTTCAGATACGGAAATCTAAGTGTAAAATTAAATAGGATTTGTGAAAATTAAAAAATACCAGTCATACAACTCTTAACAGTAGCTGAGAAAGTGTTAGAAAAACTCCTTTGGGAATTTCTTAAATATTGACAAATTCTCAGTAAAGTAACTATTAAGGAAGGGATGGGGTGGGAGATAGAAAGTAGTATAACCTTCACTTTTTGAGGTAGCCATGTTATCTAATTAAAACAAAGTTTCACAGACACTAAAATTTACTACCTATTCGTTTGACCTAATGTGTTATTTCTCATCTTCTTCCTTTTAGGACCTAATCCTGATCTTGGAAAGGATCTCAAGAAGCAAATATTTATCAGTTGTTTACTTCCTCACTGCAGTTTTTCCTGTATTAGATCTTTCTCTTTGGCTTAACAATATTGGACAAGTCTCCCACTGTGGCAAAAACAACCACTGACTCTTTCTTCAACCTTTTTGTCCTATTTTTCTGTCCTTTTCCTTTATTTAATTCCCTACATGTTCACATTTCCTTTTGATTCTCAGAGTTTTCATCTCTCCTTATATTACCTACTTGTTCTTGCATGTTATCCACTTTTTCCATTACAGCCCTTAGCATGTTAATCATAATTATTTTAAATTCATTGTCTTAAAATTCCAAAATCTCTGCCATATCTGAGTCTGGTTCTGATGCTTGTGTTATCCCTTCACACTCTGTTTTTTGCCTTTTGATATGCCTTATAATTTTTTGTGGAAAACTGAATATATTGCATCAGGTAACATGAACTGAATGGGCCTTCAGTGTGAGATTTTGTGTTTGTGTGGCTAGTAATTAGGCTGTGTTTACTGTTTGCTGTAGCTCTAAATGTGTAATGCTTCAGTTTCCTCTAGTGTTCTTGTTTTTGTCTCTTCTATATTTTAGGTTTCCTTGGGGACTTTTTCTTACATAGTCAGCTTTGCAGTTCTTTTAGTTGTAATCCCCTGTTGTACAGGAGCCCTGTTCATATGGTAGTAAGATGTAGGGGAAGGGGAAGTGTTTTACAATCCTATGATTAGGTCTTAGTCTTTTAGTGGTCCTTTGTCCCTGGGGTGTGACTTTCACAATTGCTTCTCAGCCTATTTTTTCTCCTTAGGTGGCACAAGATGGCTAGAGGGGAGGCAGAGTTGGGTATTTCCTTTCTCCACATCAGGCTCTGGTAAAACCCCAGTTGGTTAGGCTCTGGTAAGTAGTTTTTTGTGAGGACAGGCCTTTGTTAAGGAGAACAGAACATTCTAGGTGTATTTGAGAATGCTTTTACTTCCTATCCACCCGCTGCAACCCTGAGGAAGCTTTTCTCTGATCTTCATGCTGAGAACCTAGTGGACTCAGGAAGGTAAAACTCATGAAAGTGTGGGGGCCCAAAAGTTTTTTCTTTCCCAACCTAGTCTACACTCAGTCTTCAGCAGTTAGTTCATTGTCTTTTAAGTTGCTGTCTCCATGGAAGTTTCTGCTCCCTGTAAGCTATGATTCTCTGTTTTCACCTTGTCTCTCTAATTTTCAGGTAGTCATTTGCCCAGGGTAGATCTGAATTCTCTGATAGATCTAAGAAGAGCTGTTGATTTTCAGTTTATTAAGCTGTTTTCTTTTTGGGAGGGCAAGAATGATGACTTTTAAGATCTTTACGTGTTAAACTAGAAACCAGAAATTTCTATGGTTCACTTTTTAACCCTTGTAATGTTATCTCCATTGCTGTTTAGAAATTACTCAGAGGTTTGTAATGAGTAACCTAAAAGTTTCAAAAGTCACGAGATTCAGTGGGCTTTCTTACTTTCCTATCTCTCTGCAGCATTTGTAAACATTGATTTTCCCTTCCTTCAGATTTTTCTCAATTTCCTTAACCCTGAACTTTATTAGTTTGCTCATTAGCAGCCTCTTTTCTGGTTCCGCTTCTTTTCTGCCTTCAGTTTCTCTCCTTGGCCATAATACCTTCTCTTTGTTTCTTCAGGCTTTTATTTTGGGACTTAGTTCATTTATTATTATCTCCATGCAAAGATTCTCAAATGTGAATCTCCAGCTCTCACTTCTGTCCCCTGAAATTCACTTTACTCTTGCATTTTCAACTGGTAACCAACAGCTCCATCAAGATATCACTCTGATATCTAAAATTGAGCATGTCTACAATTTAACTTCTTACTATGTTTTAGAAGTAAAAACTATTTTAGTTATTACCCTAACTCTATAAGGCAGGTAGTATAATTAACCTCAATTTACAAATAATGAAAGAAGAGATTAAGAAACTTGCCCAAGAACACATAGGCTATGAGTTACTGGATGAGTGTGGGTATTTAACTTAAATTGACCTTTTTGAGTTTTTCTCATTTGTAAAACATGGCCATAATATATATATATATATATATCCCAGGTTATAATATAATGATTAAATTAGAAAATATAGGTGGAAGTTCTTTGGAATTTAAATTTTGTCATTAAAGTTACTAAGTCCTGTGATTTCTGTATCTACTGT